TGCTGAGAGTCGTGGATTAGCTTTCTCCTCACATCCACCTGCCCAGGCAGGGCTTTTAGTAATTATGCACAATCACAGAAGCAGCTCTCAGCCGAGCTGGGAGAGGCAGGCAGACAGCCCATCTGCAGGCAGCAGGAGGCTCTTCCCCGCCAAGGTCCTGACAGCATGGGCGTCTCACAGCCCAGCTCCGTGGGGTTCCACGTCATGCCCACAGAGGCTGGCAGAGAGACATCCCCGCCCCACCTGGGTGGTCTGGCTGTGGCTCCTCTCTAATGCCAGCTGTTCTTCTGAGGTGGGCAGTGGGAGCCTAGAACCGTCTTTCTTCTTCAGTCAGCCATGCTCTTGGCTGCTCGACTAGCTCACTCTCTGTGCTGTCTCACTGCAAGCTCAGCCTGCCTTACAGGGCCAGTTTCCTACCAGCCCCCACCCTGGAATTGCCTCTAGCTCAGGCTCTAGGACCCTGAGCCACACTGCCCAGGTCACTCCTCTCTGCTCTTCTCCCACTGGAACACTCCCCCCCCACAGTGGCCCCCTTCTGAAGGTGAACGGCCCTTTCCTTTGATGAATGTGTGGTCTTGGCTGACCCTGAGAATTCACGTAACTGGTGATGAATAACCAAGACACCCACCAACTTCTGTACTTCAGAAAAGATAGTATCAGAAAGGAAGAAGTGATTTATCTGCCACCTTTTACCTACATTTTGGTCCTCAGTCATTGGTGGTGTGACAATGGAGGCCATCTATGTGGTACAACATGTGTTAGACACTGAATGTACATACGTGTACCCATGTTTTCCAATGAAAACATGTGACCTTTAGACAGAGGCAGAAGCCCGCCTTGGAAGCTACTCTAGCAGGGCTATTTCTTCTTTTCTAGCAGGGCAACCGAGAAGCGTCTACACACGAAAGCAGTATCTGCCTGCTGTCAATGGCTAGCTTCCTGTTGTTGATACCTAGTACCCTGATACTGCCCACTATCAGGCTAAAGGAAGTCATAAGCATTTATCAGATTGTCCCCCCAAAAAGATCAGAGACATTATATGGCCCCAGCCATTTTCACATCTTCAGATGATTTACATCCAGAAACAACTGGCTTTGCATTCCATTTCCTTCTCCCCAGTTCTCTTTGCATTCCACTGTCTTCTCCCCCATTCCCTTTGCATCCCATTTTCCCCTTCCCCTATTCTCTGCCCCTTAAAAGAGTAAACCTGAGACCGGTTCTGGTCGCGACTTCTCATGAGAGAAGCTGTGCCCACTCAATACTTGCTTTTCTGTACTCGTGTGTCTTTGTGTGTTTGTTATTGCGTCTATTTCTAATCCACAGTCTTCCCCACTCGGAGAAAAATGAGCTGGTCCCAGCAGTAGGGCCTTTGAAAGGGGATTAGGTTATGAGGGTAGAGCCCCCATGAATGGGATTAGTGCCATTACAAGATGACATTGAGTGCTCCCTAGTTCTTTCCATGAGGACACTGGGAATTGGCTGCTACAGTTTGACTGTCTACCCCAAATTCATGTGTTGAGATTTGGTTGTTGCAAGATTAAAAGGGTAAAAATTTAATCTCTGGTGTTGGAAGATGGAGGTTTTTGGGAGAAGATTAGGATTAGTTTGGGGCCCGATTAGGGCGGAGCCCCATGATTGACTCCTGGTTCATAACTAAAAGGAATGAGTCCAGAAGCAGAGACATGAACACATCTACCTGCCCTCTACCTGCTATGAGGCAGAAGACCCTCACAGCTGTGATGCTCTGAACTCCAAACCACCAGCTGAATAAACTGCTATTTTTTTTTTTTTTTTTTTAGAAAATATTTTATTTAGGGACCAGCAGTTGGCGTAATGGCTATGTTGCTGGACTCCCACATAATCGACTGCGGTTCGAGTACTGGACCCAGTGGCTTAAACTCATGCTGGGCGCATGTGCATGCGTGCCCAAGATCCCGAGAGGAGAATGGAGGAGAAGGGATTGTGGCGAGGCCATCCCCCTGTGGGGGTGACTTCTTGCTTTCTGTCTCTCTGTCTCTCTCTCTCTTTCTGGAGAGCGCACGCGCCCTATAGCAAAAACCTCTAAAAAAAAAAAAGAAAATATTTTATTTAACTTTATTTATTCATGTACTTATTTAAATTTGACCAGAGAGAGACAGAGTGAGTTAGAGAGAGAAAATGAGAAAGCAACCACCAGGTCCAGGAGTCAAACTGCCATTAGCTGTGTGGGAGTCCAGTGCCCTTAATCACCATGCCACCTGCCGGCACCTAAACTGTTATTATTTTTTAAATTATTTTATTTAACTTTAAAAAGTTTATATACTTATTTATTTTAGTTTTGACCAGAGAGGGACAGAGCAAGAGAGAGAAAGAGAAAGAGAAAGTGAGAAAACAACCGCCAGGTCATGGACTCGAGCTGCGGTTGGCCAAGTGGGAATCCAGCACCCTTAACCACCACTCCACCTGCCGGCCCCTAAACTGTTATTTTCATAAGCTACTCAAACTCAATATTTTTTGTTATAGCAACAGAGTGGGCTAGAGCAATGGTCACCTATGAACCAGGAAATGGCTGTCACAGACACTGAATCTGCCAGCACCTTGATCTCGGAGCCCCATTCTCCAAAACCGTGAGGAATAAATTTCTGTGGT